AGTCCCACAGCAGCCCCAATCCAGTATGCTCGGTTTACCACTGCCTCCTCTGCAGCCCCACAGTAGCCCCACACCAGTGTCTAACCCTCCTGCCATGGGAGCAGCAACCACAGGGCCATGGAAGTGTAAACTGAGCCCCTGACTGGCAGGGGCAAGACGACACCTTCTCACCCCTCCGTGTTTCTCTTTTGTCCCTCTTGGGTCCCCAGCAAGTCAGTCCTCCCCAACTGTCTTCCCCCTCGTCTCCTGCGAGAGACCCTTGTCTGATGAGAATCTGGTGACCATGGGCTGCCTGGCACGGGACTTCCTGCCCAGCTCCATCTCTTTCTCCTGGAACTACAAGAACGGCTCTGAGATCCTCCAGGGCGTCAGGACCTTTCCAACACTGCTGTCGGGGAACAAGTACATGGCCGCCTCGCAGGTGTTCCTGTCCCCCAAGGACTTCATGGCGGGCTCAGATGACTACCTGGCATGCAAAGTCCGGCATGGCAACAACAACAGAGACCTGCATGTGTCCATTCCAGGTAAGAGCCCGCCCCTCCCTGGAGCGGGCCAGGGCCCTGCACGGCTCAGGGGGAGCAGGTTTGGACCAGGCTGGCTGACACCCTGCCCTTTCCTTCCAGAAATCTCAAACATTCCCCCCAATGTGAATATGTTTGTTCCACCTCGTAATGCCTTCTCTGGCCCTGCACCACGCTTGTCCAAAATCATCTGCCAGGCCACCAACTTCAGTCCCAAGAAGATCACAGTGTCCTGGCTACGAGACTGGAAACCTGTGGACTCCGGCTTCACCACAGAGAAGGTGACTGCCGAGCCCAAAGGACCAGGGCCCCTGACCTACAAGGTCACAAGCTCACTGACCATCACCGAGACCGACTGGCTGAACCTGATTGTGTACACCTGCCGCGTGGATCACAATGGGTTCACCATCTTGACGAACGTGTCCTCTACCTGTGCTTCCAGTGAGTGGCCTGTCCTAAGCCCAATGCCCACCCCTCCCAGGCCAGGGCAACCCTCCCATAGGTATAGCTGATCCCACCCAGATCTGTTCCCTGAGCCTTGGCTTCCCAGAGCGGCCAAAGGCAGGGACAGGGGGCAGCAGGGGCTAAGGGTCAGTTGGGGACCCAGGAT